GATCCTCAAACAACACAAAGAAGAATTAGAAGGTCAGTGCACCTTAAATTCCAGTGAACAACATTCATTCAGAGTAAAAGCCACATGCACTGTTACCAACTCACTGAACTCCTTGTGTCAAACCCTAAGTGACCAGCAACAACATGAAGCTGAACTCTTGGTTCTGTCCAGTATTGATGCTTTGGGATACTGCTGTGAGAGCAAGACATTTAATCATCTTCTGGATTGTGAAGAAATCAGCTTCTTGCAAAATGAGATAGAAAGATCTTACAAGGAATATTGCTCTCTGAAAGAGCAAAGTGTATCAAAAGCTCAAGCCTATGTGTTTCTGAAAGTGCTGACTTTATCCAGAGATGAAGAATATATTTCCTCTGAGAAAAAAGAAGCACGGTTAGAATTAATTAAATCTCACCTGAAGGACAACATTTCAAATACCATTAAATCAATAGATGAGAAATATCATGGTAACTGGAAACTCCTTGAGGAAGAATTAAATTCCTTTATATGGGAATCAAACATGAAAGAAGAAAATACAAATGGAGAGGATACAGCATCACAGCTGGATAGTTTACCAGCAATCCAAGTGTCTTTATCTGAGGACACAACTGATTTTAAGAATTTAACAGCTAATAACATAGAAATGAACAACTCTACCAATATATTCAAAAAACTTGGCTTCAGTGACCTTTTTCCCAAAAAGATTAAACTGAATGATATTCTTGTTATAGACCATTTATCTATGGATCTAAATGAACCAGATACAGTAGAAGACCTGAAGAGTCAATATCTTTATAAGCTCATGATTTTAGATTACAATGTCAGATATCTCTCTTTTAAACCAGTAGCACCTGATCCACCTCTAGAAGATGATGGTACAACATTTGATGATTTTGATTTTTTTAATACAAATGAGGAACCAACCAGTGGAGCAGAACTGGCAGGCACAGAGTCGCACATCCATCCCATGGATATCCACATGGCGGTCTTCCACTGTGCCAATGACTTTCTAAGACAGTACATGTACACAAAACTCTCTGCCTGCCAGTTTGCACTACCTTTCTTAGTCCCCAACCCAGGTACAGAAGACCTGGAATTCCCTCTTTGGCCTCTACGGCACATCAAAAAATCATGGCAAAGTATGACAAGCGCAGACAACCCTGGAAAATACCAAACCAGGCAAATGTTTAGCACACCGGTGCCAGTTGTCTCCTTTTTAAGGCTGGGAACCTCTTTCACCTCCAAATCTCAAATTCTGAATTCTGTCATTAGCAGACAGAGACACAATGTGTTCTTCAATCGGCACTGTAAAGGCAGTGCTCCAAACAGCATGCTTATGAATGGGGTTGTCGAGATCGCCTGGTACTGTCCAGGAGGAAAGAAAGATGACATATTTGATGACTGTGTTGCGTTTCTAAACCTTCATGGTGACGCAAAAGACCATCGACAGCAACTTCAATTTCTGCAGGCAGTGAGTACGGTGAATGTGCTTCTACTGTCAGAACAGCCACAGGATGAAGAAACAAAAACAATTTGTCAAAATCTCTCTAAGTCTTCTACCCCATTGATCTGCCTATTTTCTGGAAGTGAAAGGGTTCAGGGTTCAAAAAATCCACTCAAAGTGAGACTAGCTGCCAAGAACAGGAATGAAGCAGAGTTAACAGAGGAACTCATAACCAATATCAAGCAATGCATTGGAAAATATAACAAGAAACAGAGAATTGAAAACTGTTCTAATGAAGCAAGAAAACTAAAGTTCAAAGTT